ATCAAGAATGTTTTTTTTTTCCCCAGAAAGTACTCACATGACATCGATGGTGACATTAGTACTAAAATTACTAAAACTGAAATAAAAATGTATTAAAGCTAAATAGAAATATTAGAAAAAAAAACAAATAGCACAATTTTTTTTTAAATATATAAAAATAAAAGCTTATTCAAAACATTAATAGATGCTATAACAATATATAAATAACACTAAAATAGCTATAGTAAACGCAAACATATATTCAGCAGTGATTTCCCATGTGCAGTAAGCGTGCAGCATTAATGGCGTTCAGAGAGAGTTCGAGCAGCTGCTGTATTAAACACACAGTGATGCTGCGATGTGACCAGCAGGAGGCGACGCTCAGCTGAACACGGAAGATGATGCACAAACACGCACAGCTCCACTGGATCCTGTCATGATGGTACATCTTCAAATCAAGGCAAACATTTGAGCTGTGTGTGTGAGTGAGTGTGAGTGAGTGTGTGCGTTCGTGCGTGCGTGAGTGAGTGAGTGTGTGAGTGAGTGAGTGCGCGTGTGTGTATGTGTAAATATGTAAAACACAAAAAATGTACTAAACCTACAACTGAAAACAAATAAAAGCTGAACAGAAACAAAACAATACTAATAATACTACTTATAATACAAGTTTAGAAACCTTGTCTTGGCAACTAAGTGAAATAAGGTACTAAGTTACTAAATTACTAAAACCGAGATAAAAAAAATGTAAGCTAAATAGAAATATATTAAACTAAAAACTTCAACTTGGATACTAACTGAAATAAGCTGAAGTACTAAAATTACTAAAACGAAAACTGAAATAAAAATAAAGCTAAAATAAAATAAAAAATATAAATTAAAGAAATATATAAAGGAAAAATAATTAAAAAAAAAATGACAAAAGCACATCAAATAAAAATATACAAAACTTTTAACAAAAATCTGAAATTGTTGAGGCAACTAACTAAAATAAGTTGAAATGCTAAAAATAATTACTATTAAATATTAAAAAGTGTGTGTGTGAGTGTGTGTGTGCGTGCGTGCGTACGTGTGTGGTACCTGTTGGCTCGTTTAAGGTCATTAACGAACTCCGCCGACTGCTGATGTCGGACTTCACTGCTCTTAGTGAGTCTTTCTAACGCCGCGACCAACTCCTGAACACGACCCTTCAGCTTCTTCTCTCTGGAACACACACACACACACACACACACACACACACACACGTGCATTATATGTTTGGATCATTTCACTCTCATCTCACTGAGACAGATTATTGGAGATATTGAGTGATGACTGCTATTTATATCAGCATCTGCTGTACTGTTATAAAGATCTCGTTGATTTACATTACAAGCATCAGAATTTCATCATATCATATCAGCATCTGCACCAGATTCATGTTTTTGCTCCGTTTAGTCTCTGAATAAAACTGAACTGTATTTCCTCCATATTCTCACCATAGCAGACTATATGAGCCATAAAAGCCTGATGCATCAAATATGATACTCAACAAAAAACATATCTACAAAAAAAAAAAAACGGTTCAATAAACGGAAAAAAAATAATAAAAATTAGTCAGAAAAAAGATGTTTGACCTCCTGAGTGCGCTGGTGAGCTCCGCCGCGAGGTCGCTGTCGCTCAGACTCCTCAGATCAGACAGACTGATCGCTGGAGAATCACCAGAGTCCTGCAGACAGACAGACAGCACTCAGTCAGATACTACAGATGTATGTGTCTGCATGAAGTCTCGTTTTTCAGAACCATGAGCTCATTAACATATAATAGCCAAATATAACACAATCACAATTTACTGTCTAATCACGGTTTCCTTCAATATTTATGATGACAGTTTCACAGCAATCAAATTTTATGCAAATCATGTTATTTGCATATTTAACTGAAATTACTTGAAGTATTAAAATGACTAAAACTAAACAGAAATATATA